TGGACGTTAGCAAGCAAATCCCTTGATAAAATAAATACTGTAGAGTTCCTCAGAACCTAAAAATACTTCCCACCCTCTCGGCTTTTTTTTCAAAAATCTGTTTAAAAAACACAACACAGCTCAACACAAATTTATCAAAGCTGTGACTCAGAGACAGGTATAAATATGTTCTACTTATTCAAATCACTTCTTCTGACTTCTGACATCTATTGGTTAAAAGACTGGACTCATAACTGTAGGGTTACCATTTTAAATCCTGCTTCAGGGACAACTCAGGCCTCTGAAGAATCTATAGTTATGCTTGAGTATAATTCATTTTTTTTACTTGTTTGAATTTGCGTGCAGAACGTGGGATTCTGGGGCTATTTAAACATATATGCATATGTATGTGGGGCGTGGTATGGTAATTCAGCATGCACGCTCAAATCCAGGTTGACTGGGATGTTGATTGGGATTCCTGCGTTTGGACACTTTGATACATATACATTTTTCTGTGCATACGCCATTATCTGGATTTTTGCGTACGCCATGTTTCACGATGAAAGTCTTTGTACGTACATGGGGCCCCTGGTGTACCTACCCCTACCCCTGGTGTAGTGGGCAAGCACCAAAACCACTGACTGAGTGTCATTGGTCATAATCACTTGGGTACATTTTCTACCTTGTCTCTTAGCAAACAAACACATTTGAAAACAAATGTTTGAATTCAGTTTCTGGTTCTTGGACTAAACTAGTGGTTCTTTATTATTTTCTGTCATGCCTCTCCTTGGGGACAGACATTTTTTCACGCCAGACCCACACCCCCATGAACTGAAATACAATTGAGAACCCGATAACATGTACATTTTTATCTGTACAAACCACTGTATGAGTTGCTGCCCCCTAGTGACTGGAAGCTTGTTATCATTCAAGCATTACAGCAGTGGTACACTTATGTCCAGTGTGATATATTCCATTGGAAGCCCCTCACGCCCCCCAGGGGTGGACCACCCCACTATTTTAGAAGTACTGGACTAAACTAAGATACAATATCTTTCTACCACGGTACCACAACTCCCTTAAGCATGACATTTTAGCAGACACCCGAAGCAAACCATAATATAAAATAACTAAACTACCATGAGATGTCAAATACCATCAGCATATCAAGAAAATCGTTGGAATTCAATTTCACTTAATTACACACTGGACTTGACAGCTGGATGAAGGAGGGGGCGGGCGTCACTTTTATAAGAGCTTGTTGCATCATTACAAAAGACATGGATTGCTTCCAAGGTTAGAACATGAGCCGTCATGCAAAAAGCATGACAGAGGTTTCAGTCCCATCACGTCTGCCTTTTCTTTCTTGCTATTCGCCCTGCTTCTCCATTATATCCATCCATCTTTCAGGACAGCAGGGATGAGTGTGAGAAGTGACTGAGCAGAAGAGTGAGGGATGACTGAAGTTAAGTCCTCCACCTCCACAGGAAAGAAGGAAGGATAAAGAAAACAAAGGCAAAGGGAA